ACAGCCACATGTGGCCTTGAGGCCACAAGTTCCCCACCCTTGATTATTTCTTACGTTTTAAGTCTTTAATAGCTTCTGGAGGAAAGAAGATATTAAGGTGGATAAGTATATTATTTATCCTCAGACACCTCTGGGCTAGTTGAGGACATATAGGGAAAAAATTAAAATAGAATAATTGCTATAATAAATATAAATATAACCATATAAAGGACTATGTGAGAAATGAAGAGAAAGGAACAAACTCTGCCTGAATAAGGTGAGAAAGCCTTCAGAGACCAGGTAGTATTTAGGAGTTTTTCACATAGAGAACATACCAGGCACCAGGCAGAGGAGACATGTTAGGCACACATGGTACAAGGGAATTCAAGTTGTCTGTATCTTTATAACCTTGACTACGCAGAGATGAAGACAACTCCTTGCCTAAAGTCAAGTGCAAAGTCCAAGAGTAGTCCTCAAACAGAATAAAGAGGAAGGGGGACAAATTTTTATGAAGTGACCACTATGTATCAGGTGCTATGCTAGGCACTAGTGTATAGAACAACTGAAGTCATAATTAAGGCTACTATTAATAACTGTCCCTGCTCTTCTCAGTTCTTACTCTTAAGGAATAGTCTGTTTACCTTGACTCAAAGAGACCAGCCATCTTCATCAGTCCAAAGATGAATGATTAACTGCTTAGGTATCTATTACTCCTCTTCTCTGAACAATCTTTGATTCCCAGAGAAGGCTGAACTGCCTAGGCATCCAGATTAAACACTGTGGCAGTAAGTTCAGGCATAGGCTTATTCAGAGAATGTGTATTTGGGGAGGAATTCAAGTGTTATTCAATAAGGCAGATGCATCCTTTTCTGAGTAAGAACCACTAGGCTTTTTCAAAGATCCACATTTGTATACTAAACATGGGGAAACCTATAGAACTGCTTATTGATTACTTTTTTTTCCTCCATCAGGTATGAAGACGATAAAAAAGAATGGGCCGGGATGTTGAAGGAAATACGCTATGCTTCAGGAGCTAGTTGCCTAGCAACACGTTTAAATCTCTTCAAACTGTCTAAACTGTAAACAAGGTGACAAAACATAATAGATTGGGAGGCAGTTTGTTTGGTTAATAGGGCTTTAATTCATTCTGTTTTTTAAAAGCTTGTACAGAGATTCATGTAGAAATTATTCAGGAAGTTATTGTCTAAAAGGTGAGCAGTAGGTATCAAAACCTCAAAGTCATTCAACCTTCAATGTAATGATTAGAGCTTAAAAACATTTTCTAATAAGAAATTAAATATCCAGTTGAACAAATTATTTCTTTCGTCTATGTCTTACTCAATGGATTATAAGGAAGGTTCCTAAATTTGAGGTGTTTACTAATCCTTTCATTTGCATTGTTAGGGTAACTTTATGCTCATTTTCTATTACAAATGGAACTGGAGAATGAAATATGTACATCTACATATTTTTAAAAAGTTAGAAATATCAAAAGCCTTTCCTCCTGCTTTAAGATATGACAAGAGTCCTGTGCATTGTATCAAAGATTACCTGCCATAAGACTTTGGAAATGCTTTTTAAGGAGTTTAATAAATGGCTCTCATTTGAAGGGGAAAAGTCTCTAAGTAAAAGTAGTCAAATTCAAATGGCCTTTCTTTTTTCTCCATTCTTTCTGTGACACTGGCATATTATTTGTGATTTCCAAATAAAATTTAAAAAATTTTAAATCTAAAACCAAGTAAATTACAGTGTTCAAGCCATTAGCTACAGCATCTGTGGCAGGGGGGTGGAGGAGCACCCTCAGGAAATGGATGGATTCTTTAAACTGCTGGGGCAGAAGCTGGGGCAGTGGGTAATGTGAAGGAGGATATGTACTCATTGGTTTAAATTTTAGATATATTTTCCATGAAAGGACTACCTATTTGCTAAATTTCTGATAGCCAGAAAGGTGACTATGTTATTGTACTTTCTGGGATGTGAGGCTTCTGTTGCCCAGGCCGGAGTGCAGTGGTGCAACCATAGCTCACTGCAGCCTTGAACTCCTGGGCTCAAGCGATCCTCTCACCTCAGCCTCCTAAGTAGCTGGGACTACAGGCATGCGCCACCATGCCCGGCTAATTTTTTCTATATAGTTTTAGTTGTCCAATTAATTTCTTTCTATTTTTAGTGGAGACGGGGTCTCGCTCTTGCTCAGGTGGTCTCGAACTCCTGAGCTTAAACAATCCGCTCACCTTGGCCTCCCAGAGTGCTAGGATTACAGGGGTGAGCCACCACGCCCGGCCTGTTACACCTTTCAAATTAAGGAATTTTAAAATATTTTCCAGCAGCAAACTTAATCTTCTACTTTTGGGTGCCTATAATATTTGAATTTTTAAATTATACTTTCCCATAATTGTTCAGTAAATACATTTGGCATTTCTTTTATGTTTTACATTGATTGTATTTTCAATAATACTTAGATGGGAGGTAATGACTGAATTTCCCCAAGAAAGAAGCTCCATCAGTTTGGTCAGCCTGGCTGGATCTCTGTATGCCATCGGTGGTTTTGCTATGATCCAGCTGGAGTCAAAAGAGTTTGCACCCACTGAAGTCAATGACATATGGAAGTAAGTTCACTCCAATTTTCAGAACCACATATTAAATCAGATGACTGAGAATTGATAAACAATTTTGTAGTAAATAATAAGTGAGACTTTATCTACATGCAAACTACTTGGGCTGGGAAGGTTGAGGTTTTTGGAAAACAGGGCCAGGTACCATGTATAAATACACAGTGATTCTCAACCCTGACTATATATTGCAATCACCTGAGATGCTTTAAAAATATATCAGTGCCTGGGCCTTAATACAGACCAATTATATTCAAAATTTCTGGAGGTAGGGTTATGGGTCTCTACTTCCTAAAACCTTCCCAGATGATTCTAATGTGCAGCCAGGGTTGAGACTGATGTTAAGGAATTATGCTGTCAATCCGCTGAAACTTACCCGAACCATCTTAGTTCCTAAGGGTAGTCAAAAGCCACACTGCCCCAGCAGGAAAAAGTTACAAGCAGTGAAGGAAAGTACAGCATCTCCTGCTAAAAGTGGCCCTTACGTTGCTAAGAGGAACCTGAAAGAGGGATCCTCGCTGATTGTGGTTTATTTAGCAATTAGGGCAGCGGTTCCCAACTTGCCTGCACATTGGAATCACTAGGTTGCTTCAAAAAGTACTAATGCCTCTGTCCCACACCCACTGATTGTGACTTAATTGGTCTGGGGTATGGTCTGTGCTTTGGAAATTTTAAAAGAGTCCCTGGATGTTTCTATATGTGCAGACAAGTTTGGGAATCACTGCTTTGGGGAAGGCGAAGAGGGGGCATTCATCGCTATCTGCTTGGCAGTAAAATTTTCAATTTAGATACTGGTATTTTCTAATTTGGGGTAATATTTGGAGCATAATTCTCAAACTTTGCTGCATATTAGAATCACTTGGGGAGTTTTAAAAAATCCTCATGCCCAAGCCATACTCCATACCAATTAAGTCAATTTCTGGGGGTAAGACCCAGGTATTAGTATCTTTAACATCACTAGGTTGCATTATGCAGCTAAGTTTGAGAACTAGTGATCTACTAGAGTGGTTTCTAAAGCAGCATCAGCATCACCTGGGTACTTTTTAGAAATGCAAATTTTCAGGCCTTACCTCAGACCTGCTGAATTAGAAATTCTAGAGATGGTGGGGCCCAGCAATCTGTGTTTTAACAAGCCCTCCAGGTGACTGGGATTAGTGCCCAAATTGAGAACCACTGATCTAGAGAAAGGTGGCTGCCTACTTGCCCTAGTGAACCTCTCTCTATCCTCACATGCAAAGAGATGAAAACTCCCAGTATACCTCATTCTAAACCTATAGACCCTCTTATTATGATGTGTAAAAAAATTTTCCATTCTTCTATTTTTTCTTGAAATCATTCCATTATTTAGGATTGACCAAGCTGAAAGTAAAAAATATAACTGCCAGAAAGCAAACATTTTTAAGCCTCATTTAACCTCAACCTCCTATTGCTTAAATATGGTCATTTTTTCTTTAGGCCATTTAAAAATATTCTTTACCTCTTACTTTGTTGCCCTAAACTTTATATAATTAACCCTGTCTCTACTAAAAATAGAAAAAAATTAGCCGGGCATGGTGGTGCATGC